TTAAAAAACAGAAACAACAACAACAACAAATGAAACAACCTTTTAAGGTTTTCATTATATTTAAAATGATAAAAGTAACAAATTGAATGACATAATTAAGTAGTATATGACAAAACAAAATGTTACTATGATATGAAAGAAATTTAGGTCAAGAATAATTAGTTAAGAAGATGGAGTTGTTATGATTGAAATGTATATAACATATATGTCAGTTTATTAGATATATGACTGTTTTGAGCATATGTTTTTGAGTACTCTAATGATTTATTTCTCATTACAATTATTAAAAAAAAGATTTTCTAGGACATAGTATGATGAAGAATCCTGGTGGGTGGCCTATGCTCCTACATGGGAAGTAACAGGCGTAATTAAGTGAAGTATAATTAAGAAAAGCCTTATGAAAAGATATAATGATGATGATGATGATGATGATGATGATGATAACAGTGTGATAATTAAATCCATTTGGTATTGTTTGTTCTAATCTTCCCATCGATGTGTTAGGACTGCAACTGGTCAGTCTCTAATTGGCAAATGTGCATACTATGAGTATTGCGTATTACGAAAATTCAAACAAACAATACTAAATGAATTTAAACTTCAATCCATTGCACAAACAAGTGGCTATAAGGACTCAGTGGTCGAGTGGATAACGCGATGGCGTTTGAAGTGAAAGGTACTGGGTTCGAATCCAAAAGTGAACATCAACTCTGAGATGCAGATACATACATCCGACGAGTCCCGAATAGAACGAAATGAGCGTTCTGGATTCCACTGCTAGCCACTATCCATCTTTGCTTACCATGAGTGTGATAATTGTTGGAACTTATAATATACAGAGATTATTAATACAAACGGATCACGACTAATCTTCTTATGAATGTATACTAGTTACTAAAAAAAAGTTAACAAAATTCAAATGTCTCTTATCTAATTAAAATAGTGACTTTTCTGCATTGAAACAGTTGTAGTATCGGTTGCTATGTTAAGCCCATATACCTTATTCTAAGTTCTGGACAAACCAATTCACCTATCCATCATGAATTAGGTTTTCACCTTGTTAATTATTTACTTATTAACCCTGACCATTTTTAAATGAGTGTAGGTGTGTGTACACTTTCTTATCCTATTTATCACATCTGAAACTTATTATTATATGACTATAAATATTGATTAACGCTTGATTAAAGTGAGTTGGCTTATCCGTCATCTCCAATGTGCGTCATTAGTCAATAAAACTGTAGTTATCAGAAGGGGTTTTATGGAGATTTAGTATTTTCATAGTTGAAAGCGTGAGTCATTTGAAGCTAAACCACCAGGGAAAACCTGGAAGCACTGGACAGTTGTTTCGTCCTATCGGTTAAGTGCTCTGGCGTGAGACTGGTAGGTCCTGGGTTCGAATCTCGCGAGGCGAGGCTGTGGATGCGCACTGCTGAGGAGTCTCACAATAAGACGAAACGGCCGTCGAGTGCTTCCAGGTTTTCCCTGGTGGTCTAGCTTCAATTGACTCACGCTTTCAACTATGAAAAAACTGTAGTTGCCGCTTCTCTTTGCCTTCTGATTTTATGCACCGTTAAGATTTGTATTGTAACGGTTATCGAGGTGAACGATTAGCGAAGCACGGCACTACACAGTGATTAGAATGAGTTAAAATTTCTTAAGAAAAATATATTGATAAAAACATGAAAACTAATTATAAATTCGGTTTATATGTAGACATTATTACGATACTTTGTATCAGCATTATAAAGAAAACAGGCAAGAAAATGGTTAGTCATTCATCGGCAACATAAAGTTAGAGCAAAGATATGCTTTAGACTTAGTTGTAAACACGACGAGATCAAATTAACAAGGTAACTAGTTAAGCAGATCGAAATGATGTAGTAGTAATGAAAATAGCACACAGAGAGAGACAGGATATGGTTTAAAACGGCAGAATGAAAAGGTATAACAATACTGAAATTCAAAATCGAGATAAAGGGTCAATATATCTACCTCAACCAATTTTGGGATAAAAGATAAGATGGTTGACCTTTGTTAATGACCAATAATCACATTTTAAGACAACCACACATAATTATTTTCGGCGAGAATATAATTTATGGACGTTCAAAGATTTTAAAAACCGTAATGCATAAGGTAGAGGAAGTCATCCATATGGCTCCATAATAGTTGGTCTCTGGAGCCATGATAAGGTCATAAAAACGCTCTCAGCCTCGACCACATAGCTTAATTATTGTTTGTGTGTACTCTGGTTGTGTAAGTTTATCAGTTTTATTATGGATATGTCCCTACAATACTCATACCACTGAACAGCCGAAGCTTCAGTAATATCTGCGATTTTTGCAACCAATGTTACTGGTGCTTTTATTATACAGTTCGCGGCAATTATTATAATATGCCTTATTCTCAATCTGGATCGAGCGATAAAGGTTCCTATTCTAGCAAACGTCTTCCTTCAACATATATTACATCAAAGGACAACATCACGGTAGTCTGCACAACATCTACAAGTCACTTAATTGCCACAATCACGAATACAGGAACTTCTTAGTAATCTCATTTTTTGTAGCCGCTTAATTGTTAAGTCTTCTCTAAAATTCTCTGTAAACCGGTCGTACATAAGCACCAGGCAATGAAGTTGGCGCCATGACCTTGAAATCCCTCAAATGCTTCTGATTGACTCATTCCATAAATTATAGTCTCACCTTATTTTCCTAATTATTTTTTTCCATACAATAGAATTAACTTTTATTTTGTGTATTTTATGTGTTAAATATCATTCACAAAATTATTGAACGTCATTTCAATATTTTAATGTTGGTTGCTATATCAGTCTACATAGTTTATTCTAGCTTTCAGTAAGGCCAATTTATTCATCCTACTTTAGTTACATTTTGACTTTATTAATTATTCGCTTTATATGAGGGTATGCATGTATACACTTCTTATAACATTTGTCACATCTGTCCAACTTTAATTATCTATTAACACTTGATTGAATAGAGTTGGTTCATACACCTTTATCGTACGTCATTTCTCTTCACTCTCTTCAATTCACTTTCTTTTTTTTTTGCTTTGTTACTGTGATCCTCTGTTTAGATCAACAATTGTATGAAATAAACATATTCAAAATCCATTCTTGTATTTGATTTATTTAATTCTATTATTCACAAACACAAGTTAAGTCGATAATTATATATCCGAGGATAATCAGGATGTATATTTTGACAACAATCATTTATAAGATCCAATTGAAATTAATCGGATCTCAGGTCATAAAAAAAAAAATGGAAACACAACAAAAATAGGTCAAAATAAAATGAGTTTGAAAATAATATTCAATCTCAACATACATATATATCGAAGACAAAAAAATGAATATGGATTTATTCGACTTTCATGGTTTGAATAATTTTTTCTGGTTAGCGGTTTTCTAGAGAGTTGGTTTTCTACAGGATGGGGTCGTTAACCCCATGCCCAACCCTTCTCCTTTACCCGGGCTTGGGAACGGCAGTAGACCCCAAAAGAGCTACAGGCGGATTCGCTCTAATACAAACTATTTAGAACCAATTCATCCAATATAACCAACAATCAATAAGGATTATTTCATAGATTAGAACAGAATAATCTACAGTTGAAAATATAGTTCACAGTATTAGTCAGTAATGTGATAGAATAAATTTAAACCTCAGCTTGACCTCAAATGTGACCTGTTTACACATTTTGTTCTTATGCAATGCCTTCAATGTAGGCAGTGATTAAGTTTTATATTTTCTCTTCTGGTTTTTCTATGAGTTCAGTCACTTACTTAATTACACCTGTTACTCCCAATGGAGCATAAGCCGCCCGACCAGCATTCTCCAACACATTCTGTCCTGGGCCTTCCTTTCTAGTTCTATCCAATTTTTGTTCATTCTTCTCATGTCTGTCTCCATTTCTCGGCGTAATGTGTTCTTTGGTCTTCCTCTTCTCCTTTGGCCTTCAGGATCCGGTATAAGAGCTTGCTTTGTGATACAGTTGGGCGACTTCCTCAATGTGTGTCCTATCCACTTCCACCACTTCTTCCTGATTTCTTCCTCCACTGGATGGAATCTGGTTTGTTCTTTCCCATAGTAGAATGTTGCTGATAATGTCTGTCCAACATATCCGAAGTATCTTGTGTAGACAACTGTTAATAAACACCTGTATCTTCTGGATGATGACTTTCGTAGTTCTCCAGATTTCCGCCCCATAAAGTAGAACTATCTTGACATTTGTATTGAAAATTCTGATCTTGGTGTTGATCGACAGTTGTTTTGAGTTCCAGATGTTTTTCAGTTGTAAATATGTTGCTCTTGCTTTGCCGATCCGCGTCTTCACATCTGCATCAGATCCACCGTGTTCATCAATGATGCCGCCCAGATATGTAAAGGTTTCCACATCTTCCAAAGCTTCTCGGTCAAGTGTAATTTGATTGGTGCATATTGTGTTGTATCGGAGAGTCTTGCTCTGGTCAAAAACGCTTACCAGAGTTCAATGACTATTCAAAACTACTTAATACATTTGGTAACATCAGCGATAAAGTACAATCCTGAATGTCATCAATAAGAAAATATATACCTTTACAAAATACTTCATATCCATTGAACACGTTAGTGACTATTCAAACTTAATCGATTGGTCAATGCTTCATTCATTTTATTTTATTTATTTAAACACATACATATTGGTACAAAAGGGCACCAGATACATATGCACCACACGGATACATATGCGTACTCGCTTCGGAGGTACATATACTAAAATTGGAACAACGCAGAGAAGATTAGCATGGCCTCTGCGCAAGGATACTTCATTCAACTGAAACATGAACATTGAGATATACGTAAATCTATCAACTGACTAGTCCCAATTATGACAAAACGCCGTATCCCCTTTTTAACCACAATCTAATTATCATAAATTTTGTCAAGTTATAAAAAGTGAATAACAAATATAATTAAAAAAAGAATCCTCACTTCTGATTCAGTATTATTTGCAATGCTTATATCTTCAGTTGTATTTTCGTTAGAATCTTCAATAAAATAATCGTTCGTTATTTGTTTGTCAGATTCTAAATTCTTCTCTTCTTGATGAGATGAGATTTCGTCTTCGGATGTCCGAAAGTCTTCTTCAGGTTTATTAGTATTTAACGATTCTTTACCAGAAACCTTTTCTTCAATATCTATTTCTTTTGATTCTATTGGGGATTGTATCAAATCTGGATGACGATGATGATTTGATGAACTGGAGGTTTGATCAATAACTACGTCGTTTTCAGTCACAATATCAACATTTGAATCATCATTATTAATGAATATTCGTTTTACTTTTGTAGTACTATGAAAACGTTCTCGTTGAAGATGACCTCGATATCTAGATTGAATTATGGTAGCTGCCTCGTGTTCAGTGTATTTCTGTGATTGTGGTAATTGAATTGAAACTTTTTTTTCTTCAAACGATTGATTATTCGGTGAAATTGTGTGGTTTGATAAAACACTAGTTTGGTCGATGTCTCTTACACTTTCAAGATTTACCTAAAATGCATTTTCAAAAATAAAATTTGTAAAATATGCTTCTTCTAAACACTGATAAGTATAGAATAATCATATTTCGAAAAAAGGATTAGAGATTTGAACACAATAATCCTTGTTGGTGAGTAGGTTTTTCCCTAAGATACCATGGCAAATTAGGGGACACTGGATAGCTGTTTCCTCTCGATCTTACCAGTGATGAAATTCAAAACCTATGACCTTAACAATTATCATCTCACCTTTAAACTATGTGACTTGTTGTCTGCAATTTTTTTATAAAAATATCCTTTCTCTGTGGAATTTGAATCCACCAATTGACAATAGGTTGACTAAGTGAATATTCTAGAAAATAAATCAGAAGTGTATTCAGACAGAATTCTAGAAACGGAAGACTAAAGGTCAAGTTGAAAAACGATAATTCCGAATTCCAAACTAATCATATATTAAAAAAAGTTGACCTTTTGAGTAAGTTAACTATTCCTGCCCTTTACTGTTTCCAATTGTATCTACTAGGTTACATATCCGTTCCAAATCCTAGACATCAGAAAAACAGAAAGGAGGGTTATCGCACGGATCTTTGAGCGCTTTCCAAGAAAGTTGGAACTCCACAGTGTTACAAACTGCAAGGATTAATATAGGTCAACAGACCTCCTATCCTGATTACTGAAAACTAAAAAGACAGCACACTTCCAGCAGTTCAATAATTTGCCAATGTGCTTGATAATTAATATAACACCGAATTTTCAAAGTTATCATTAAGAAAATGAATTATAGTCTATTAAGCTTTCTCAAAGCCATTACTCAAAAAAACTTAAAACAAGTTTGTAAATCAAATAAAACGTTCAGTTTTGTTTTCCCAGGATGACAGTTTAAGTAATTGTTTGTCTAGCATATTTCTCAATGCTTTTAGTTGTGGATTCGTACTACTTCATCTTTACTACTTACCTGAGTGTTATTCAAATACTCAATGATTATGTAGTTAACCTAATCCAAGCCCTAACTTCGAATCCTCAAGGCTAAAGGAAAAGAGATAGATAACAGAACACACTGCGTTGTTAATTGAAGGCAGACATCAAAAGAATAAATAGCACTTGGGAAAGACCGGAAAGAAAAGTCCAAGATGCTGTTGCGCAAAGGCTACTGGTCTGTGATCTATGCTTCATGAGAAACAACAAGCAAAGTAAGTAGGTAAGTAGTTATATAGCCCGTAACATCAGTTTCTCATTTTTAAAATTATTTTTCTACGCTTTTTCCAGTTTTTTCTACCTTAATATCCGTACAAATAAGAAAGACTAAGGTTTAAGACAATAGCTCCAAGAAAATGAATGAAGAGATATTTATGAAGGAATACTAAAATTAGAAATCGCGAAAAAGATAAGTAGTCAACACATCTGAGTCACTGTGACTATTTCCGAGCCATGTTATCTAAGGTCTACAGTCACTGATAGTGGATATCTTACGAACCTCAACGAAGTAGTTTTCATCTACTTACATGGGCACATCTAAAAGTCAACAAGTTTATGGACAGATGCAACCGTTTCAGCTTGACCACCCCCATGATTTAGATATATATTCTGATTTAATGTTAGCTATACTTGAAATAATTTAAAATAGTAATACTGTGATGTTGGGGATTTGTAGCTCAGATGGGTGATTTTGACGTAGGTTTATTCTCTGACCTGGAGGATTTGTTCGTGGAGCTTTCATCGTCCTTCTGAACAACATCAGCACAAACCATCCAGCTCAGAGAACAAACCTACATCAAAAACAGTAATACTGTATTAGATAATTATATTAGATTGTTGTTGTTCCTATGACAGCACAAATCAAATACATTCCATATAAGTGCCAGTTTGTATAAATTAATAAAATACTTTTAGAAATGTAATTTTGTATGTTGCATTTCTTAAGTCATTTAGTTTATTGGTAAAGAACAACCATAATATCTATAGTCATACAAGTCTAATTGATAGACAATTATAAAAAAAGAGAGAGAAAGACCATGATGATATGAGAGAACGAAATTACATGGATAACTAAACTAGTGAAGCATCAAACACTTAATTGAATAGTGTTAAACATAAGAAAACTATTTATTAAATCATAACTAATAACTACGAATGAAAATTTCACCAAAAAGAAATTATCACTGTTGAAAAGAATTCGAATTATCCAGATATTCATAACCAATTGCGTCACAAGACAAGCCCTCACATGGAATCCTGAAGGCCACAGAAGAAGAGGAAGACCAAAGAACACATTACGTCGAGAAATGGAGACAGACAAGAGAAGAATGAACAAAAATTGGATAGAACTAGAAAAGAAGGCTCAGGACAGAGTGTGTTGGAGAATGCTGGTCGTGCGGTCTATGCTCCGTTGGGAGTAACAGGCATAAGTAAGTAAGATATTCATAACCTTGATTAAATTTGGATCAACATTTGTTGCCTTTATCCAGACGATTTGAATACGTGTTTATAAAATAAATGGATATTTTGGCTAGAATCGTCATGATAGAATGTCCTATTCACAAATGCATCATTAATTATTATCAACGTAGAGCCTGATACGGATGTGGGTTAGCCCAAGTTCTCATACCACATTAGTACGATGAGATCAAATCAATAGAATAAATGGTAAAAGAGTTCGAAATAATGTAGTAACAATGACAATAAGAAAGAATAAGAATTAAGACAATAGTTTCGTCCCATTCAGAACTCATCAGAAACAAATTGTTTCAACCAATCTAATAAGCGATATATATTTTAGAAATTAATTAGTTTCTTAAGTGCAGTCTTGTCTTAAGAGAATAGAAATTTTCAATTTTCCAAGCAACAGTTTATATATAATCTGCATACGTCTATAAAACGCTCACAGACACTTAAAACTATGTAAACCTATCAAACTCTTTAATTGACTTATTTAACAGTCAGACAGGGTGATTACTATCAGTATCGATTTGATCGTATGTTTCCACATTTTTCATGCTTGGATAAACATGTATGATTGGTCATATCTCACAATATGTAAGGACATTAAACCTTTTATCAGTGTAAAACAACAGTATGTTATCTAGCATTTTCGAGCATTTTTCCATTTGTTCATGTTGCATCTAAGGCAGTACCTTTCAATATGGGGTTTTAATTCAACCATCTAAAACAATCTACAAATGTATTTTGTGAACAGGATTTTGTAGCCTATTCCAACTTAGGGGATGAAAAAAAGTAAATAAAGGTAAATTTTTTGAGCTTGAAATGAAATCTTCAATGGAATGTATACCGTTATATGCAATATTCACTCACTAAATGAACGTAAAAACACTAGATATTCTACAAATATTGAATATTGAAGTACAAATGTCCTACCAATTCACGAACACATATCTTATCCTGTCACCGATCATGCATATACTCCTCTTACCTACCTAAATTTTAGTTGTTTAAAATATGTATAATGAATGATTCCTATACCTTTATATCTGTGTTTATTAACTAACTCGTTAACTAATTCATCAACTGATCTCACTCGTCGTGTAACTGTTAAATCGTTCCGTTTATGCTGTACTTAACTAAACTATAGTCAACACTTCATATTGTCTTTTGAAAAATATATTATCATTGGAAATCATTATAATAGCAGTTATCATAGTGATTAATATTAGAAAATATAGAAAATATCCCATAGATATATACAAAGTTTTAAACGAATTCTCTGACCTTTTCTTGAATCTATAATAAGAAATTATTCAATTGATAATTATGTGAGTAAATTGTTTTCAATAAATATTATAGTTGAAGTCATCGGTCAATTGAAGCTAGACCATCATAAAAAACCTGGAATCACTGGACGGCCATTTCGTCCTATTGTGGGACTCCTCGACAGTGAGCATCCATGATCCCACCTCGCGAGATTCAAATTCAGGACCTACCAGTCTCACGCGCGATCGCTTAACCTCTAGACCACTGAGCTGACTGGCATCCAACAATATCAATGTCTAACTTCAACCAATCCACGACATTGAGTAACCGTCCACCAGTGTCTTCAGTGAGTTACTATCTCACAATAGACCCGATTGAACTCCACTGGTCACTGCTTTTCACTAGAACTAGCTTCAATTGACTTATGATTTCAATTATAAAATTACTAAAATTTTCACAAAACCCTCTTCAATAAATATCCTTTATATACTTATAGTTTTAACATAGTTATATTCATTTGATAATCAAAAGGGATGATAAATGTTAGTTATTTCATTGTGTATATTCACTCGATAGAGTGATTTAAATTTATAATGTATTAGATAATAATGTTTGCTTAGAAACAAAATAAATTAATCATAGATGGATAGTGAGTAGCAGTGGAATGAATCCAGGACGCACATTTCATCCTATTTGGGATTATATTATTATACTATGAAATAAAGATATAAGGCTTTTGATTTGAAATTATTCAATATAGAGAGTAATAGATTGATCCTTTTAAGCAATCAGCTAATAATCACTAAGTGATAGATTCTATATTCTTTTTAATTACTTCAATTTGACTAAATGGATTATCATAATTGATAAATGATTCAGGAGTTGGGGATATCAAACGGTACTTGATAAATACATTGTATAGGCTTATTTTGAACAAATATATCATACGAAATACATGTTGAAAGTGCGAATTGAATTTAAGCGCTATATTAACAACAAAATAGTTTAAATTAATCAAGTTTTATCATGACAATATAGAGCTGTTTGAAAGAACACTATAAATCAGCTGCCTTACACTAGTTCGAGAGTGATTATGTATGTACATCACTGAAGAGGTTTAAGCAAGGATGAAATAGTTGCTTATCATTTCCTAGTTACCATTAATTCTCCAACTGGTATTGTTTTGTAGCAAAACTTATATTTAAACTATGAAAATATCTCTATACAAATATATATAAATATTATGGCTTAACCTTGAATTTTTAGTTTGATAAATTATCTTATGCTGTTTAACAATTTCATTTTTTC